GAGAAGGTTCTACAGGCTTCCAAGAAAAATCAGACCGTATACAAAGGGTCAGGAATCAAAATGACTCCAGAAGCCTCAAGAGCAACACTGAGAGCAGAAAACAAAGGAGCTGCACGTACAAAATTCGGAATAAAACGCTAACCGCTGGAATGGCATGCCAGTTAAACCATTAATGATAAATGAAGACATTATCAGATGTACAAGGTGCCACAAAAGTGGTCCTTTCTCCTTCTTTTAAGGATGGAGGATGTGCTCCCTGAACAAGAGAGTGAGCTAAGAATGGGGAAGGCACGGGAGACAGGAAACAGAAGATCCAACATGGAAAGCAGAAACAGTAGATCTCAGAACAACAACGACCCCCCCAGACACAGGGGAGCAGCCAGCCCAGATCTGATGCAAGGAACCAAGAGGCAGACATGTTGGGACTATCAACGCCCCATCCTCACTGCCATGGCACCATCCTCTACCCTGAGGATGGGATTCCAGGTGAAGCTTAACTGGGCCTGGCTTGACCTTGTGCTAGTGAAGTCCTTGCTTTCCCCTCCATGCCCCTCACTCAAGATGAGTCCTACTTTGACTTGCTCCTGGGAGCTGGAGGTAAGTCACGGAAACTCAGAAGCAGAAAACCCAGGGCAGCCCGTTCCCTCTGATCAAGTGCCTGCAGATACCTAGTCCCTGTCAGGTAGCCCAATTGTTTCCTAGACTCATCCATGACCTTGCCCACAACTTCCCCAGAAACGACCTTGGAAATTCTCAAGGAAGCCAAGGCCTGACCATGGTCCTGAGATCGGTTAGTACCCAGTGTCCAGCAAGTCTTCAGCCAACAGGGTTGGTGCTGCCCTTCCCTCATACACCAAGGTCTTAACTTCTACTCAGTTTACCCAAGGAATCAATCTATTGTTTCGGGTTCACACATAGAAGACAGAACTCTAAAGAAAATCAAAGCAAGTATACAACCATTGTAATTCCACTCAAATAACATTCTGGAAAAGGCAAAATTCTAGGGACAGCAGTTACTGGTTGGAGGGGGGTGGAAATTGACTGCAAAGGAGCCATGGGGGATTCTGGTGGGTGGTAAAACCCTTCTATATCTTTACAGTGGTGGTAGTTACACGACTATATGCAACTGTCACAACTCACAGAACAGTACACTAAGAAAGGTAAATATTACTGTATGTAAGTTATACCTGAATCAGAAAAGGGAAAAGAAAAAAAAGAAGAAGAAAAAGGAAGGAAAGAAACCAAAGAAATGATTAACTTAAGTCAGGAATGGCAGTTGGGGCTTCTAAGTTTCTACAAATGGTCTAGTTCTGGTGGGTGCACAGAGGTTCATCATTTCATCATTACTCTCTATGGTACAATTACATTTCATTAACTTCTGTAGCTAATACATTTCACAACACATTTTAAAAATATTTATAAGTGCTTAGCACAGGGCCTGGCACACACCCACAGTAACCTTAAGACTACAAAAAGTATATATTAAGTCTTTCTGTGAGCAGGTTAAGGCCAACATGTTCTTAACTTTTAGAATTAGAATTTCTAAAGCCAACTCTTAAGGAAGGCACCGGGATTCTCTGATATGACAGCTTCCATGCCACAGGGTCAGGCCTGATACCTTGCTAGCCCCCTCTGAACTCTGCAACATACTCCACCCCCATCACCTGCAGAATGGAGGAGGTACGCAAAGCCCTCCACAGTCCAGATGCACCCACTGCCTACCCTCCCATCCTCTCCATCTCCCATCTAGCCCACTCAGCCCCCAGACTTTTCTCTGGTACCTGAATGCCTTCCCCACCTCTCCATGAGGAACCCCTCCTCATCTCTCCAGGCCCCATTTAAACTCCCCTTCTCTGTTCCGACAACACGCAGCTCTAAGATACACATCCCACCACAACACATTCCGTCTTCACCTGCCTGCTCATCTCTGTTCTCTCAACAGTGAAACTAGTGCCTGGCACTCTCAATAACTGTGAAATTGTGGGAGAACAGAATGAAGAACTAGCAAGCATTTCTTGCATCCCTCTCCCCTTGCCTGGAGTTCAGCTCCCTGTCATGAAGGAAGGTCTCACTGGTCTCCCATTAGGACTGGGGGTCCTCCCCACACAGAGACCCTGCCCCTGCAGCGTAGGAAATGACAGTTCTCAGGGTCAAAAAGTGGAGGAAAGAATCAAGATCTGAGAATCAAGGGCCAGAGTCCTGGGTTCTAGGGCCAGCTCTAGCCCCCCGTCATTGAGTACTCCTTCCATACACAATGGGCCTCAGTGTTCTTTTCTACTAGGTGGAATAAAAGAGCTCACCTCTCAGTCTCCGAGTCGCTGGAGATCTCCTCATTCATCTTGCCGCCACCCTTGGACTTGCCCTTGTCCCCAGAAGAGTCACCCTAGGAATTATATAATACTTTCTTTGGTCAGGGGTCCCGACCACCCCGGCTCTGACCAAGGGCCCCTTAGGGTCCCTCGAGAGTCACTGGGAAAAGCGGTAGCCCCCGGCTCAAGTGAAAGGCTTTTTCAGTATTTGGCGCGCGGAGAACGGAACGAAGCTGACTCCAGCTGGGGTCCCGGGGTCGAGGGGACCGGTGCCGGGGCCCCCGGATGGGGATAATGGTGGTCCCAGTAACAAAGGATGGACCCCGGCCCGCCAAAGCGCCATGCTCACCTTTCGCCTCAACTTGCCGGCCCCCGCACCAGCCCCGGCCCCCGAGGCCGGCTTTCCCCTCTTTCGAGACGCCCCAGTCGCCGACATGCTGCCCACCGTGTGTGTTGCGGCGGCTCCTGGCGAGCTCACGTGGCGGCTGAACCCGGGCCGTCCCCCGAGACTCCAAGCCAAGATAGGCTCCCACCGCCCGGTGGGCCCCGCCTCCCACAGCTCCATTGGGCCCTTGGATAGGTTCTGTCTCGCCCCGAAGCGCCCATAGGATAACTGCCTGTGGCCACGCCTCCTAGAACTCCTATAGGCTCCTGCGCCCGGCTCCAGTAGGAAGCAAGCCTCTCTCTGGCGCTTCCGGCCAACGGCTGCGGCGCGTGCGCCCTGCCGCTGACTGACGTATGAAGAGGGGTCGGACCCCGACACCGTCTCTGTGTTTGCTCTCCTTGGACGCTCGGGGGAGCCAGAGACGCGGGATTCCTTTTCCTGGAACGTGACTCCTCCCCGTCAGGGGCGGGGGCCAGGGTGAGAGAGTCTGACTCTAAATAACCGGGGCTGGGGAGAGGGATCCGGCAGCCCCCGGGAGAAGGCAATGCCCGCACCTGGGGCCAAGGTCACCGGACAGCCGGTGGATACGTATTGCATGCCTCAGGCCAGATGAGCAGCTCTAAGGGCGCGTCAGTCCCCTGGGCCTTGGCTGTGTCCAGATCAAGTGTCCATCCATCCATGGGACAGGCTGCCTGCCCGCCTCGGCCTGCCCAGCCTCTGACTCACCAGACTGGTGGCCAAATAGCTGGAATCCTACCCACACCCACTTCTTCCCCGCTCCCCTAAGGCTGACGGGAGGTTGTTAGAACTAGGACTGCCTGGGAGTTACTGACCTGGTGGCCACCACCTCTCCCAGGTCCCTGCTTCTCTTAGGTGAGTGCCCTATGGCCTCGCCCACAGCCCTCCACAGGGCAGGGCAGGGCGGGTGTGACTGACCCTTGCCCTCTGGCAGTTCAATGCCACTGGTCTGGGACGGAGGCTGGCACCCCAGAACTCTTGAACCTGCTGGGAAGGGTTTCTGTGCTATTGGGTCCCAAGCTTTGGAGAGACAGATCCGGCCTTAGGAGTGCTATAGCCCCCCGGGAGCCACTGCCCACTCTCCTCCATAGCTGGGGTGACTCAGCCCAGCAGCCATGCCAGGTCCAAGTTAGCTGAGATGGGGGAGGAGCAGAGAGTGCTCTGGGGAGAGGAGCCCAGAAATGGGAGGGGGGAGATTCTCCTTTCACTTTCCCTTCAACCTCAGAACACACAAAAGAGCCATAGAGGGTGAAGAGCCCCTCTTCCTTGACCAGACTGGGCAGACTGGACAGGGGCCTGGCCTGGCCCTGGTGACTGGAGAAAGGGGTGTATCTGGGGTGCAGAGAGCCGGTTTTGGTCAGGGACCGGGAGTGGGGAAATGGAGGCAGAGGGAGGTCACCAAAGGGCAATCTCAGGGTGGGGCAAGTTAGTACTGTGCCAGCCAGGTGGGACGCAAAGGTCACGGATGCCTGAGGGCCCCCTCTGTGCCCTAGAACAGCCATGGCTCCAAAGCGCAAGCCCCAGGTACAGTGTGAGGGTCCTGAGAAGAAGAAGGGACGTCAGGGGGCGCAAGAGGAGGACACTTTCCGCTCCACTGCCGAGGACCTCCACCCACAGAGAAGCGCATAGCCTAAGTGGACCCCCTGTGCCCACTCAGCTGCAACCCTGGGACCCAGGTAAGCTGTAGTCCCTGGCCAGTCCCAGTGCCTGCTCCCTCTTGGGTACAAATACACTCAGACCTTCTCCCCTCCCGCTAGGCTCTGGCCAAATAGCTCAAGGCTCCCAAGTAAACTGTGTTCTTCCAAGACCCCAAAAGTCAGGCAGGGCTATATCCCATCAGATCCAGGTGGGTCATGTCTGCCCTTCAGACCCCAGGACAGGCCCCTGAGCTTCTCAGTCTTCCCCCAACGACACTTAAGGCAGGGTTCCCAGACAGGGCCTCCTCTGACACCCCAGTGCAGTGTGATTCCTGTCAGCGTGCAGCCAGGTACCCCATCCCACCCAGGGGCGGCCGGAGCCAGCCTGCCCTCTGCACACCCACTCTGGCCACAGGTGCATGAAGACTACGACTGTACCCTGAACCAGACCAACGCTGGGAGCAACAACAACAAGTTCTACATCATCCAGCTGCTGGAAGGTGACTACTTTATCTGCTGGAACCGCTGGGGGCGCGTGGTGAGTACCACCCACCCACCGTGTGCCTGCATCCTCTCCACCTCTCCCTGCTCAACGCATGGCCCCTGCTCCCTGGGGTCCCCACAGCTTACTCAGGCCAAAAGTCCACAGCCTCTGACTGTGCCCTGCCCCACCTCTGACATCCAGGGGTGCTCGGCACAGGGCCTGCACAGTAGAGGCCAGCAAACATTTACGGCGGGCACTGTGGTAGGCACACCTCTGAAAGCTGTTGCTTGCCGGGAGAGGTGGGCCAGTCAAAACTCAGCCGCTTCATGTCACTGGAGGATGCACAGAAGGACTTTGAAAAGAAGTTTCGGGACAAGACCAAGAACAGCTGGGCAGAGCGGGACCACTTTGTGGCCCACCCCAGCAAGTATACACTTATCGAAGTACAGAGAGAGGATGAGGCCCAGGAAGCCATGGTGAAGGTGAAGTGGCCAGAGAGGGAGGGTGGGCCTGGGCCGAGGGAAGGGACAGCCACTGCCCAGCTATATACCCTCAGGCACAGGCCTTCCTCTCTGGCCTCGGTCTGGCCAGGCCCTGCTCTAGGTGCAGGTGCCCTGCCCAGCTGCTCCTGCCCACGTGGGCCCTCTACCCCTAGGTAGACAGAGGCCCAGTGAGGACCGTGGTTCGTGGTTCAGCAAGTGCAGCCCTGCTCCCTGGACACAGCCAAACAGAAGCTTATCACCAACATCTTCAGCAAGGACATGTTCAAGAATGCCATGGCTGGGCTTCCCTGGTGGCGCAGTGGTTGAGAGTCCGCCTGCCTATGCAGGGGACACAGGTTCGTGCCCTGGTCCAGGAAGATCCCACATGCCACGGAGAGGCTGGGCCCGTGAGCCATGGCCGCTGAGCCTGTGTGTCCGGAGCCTGTGCGCCGCAACGGGAGAGGCCACAACAGTGAGAGGCCCGCATACCGCAAAAAAAAAAAAAAAAAAACAAAAGAAAAACAATGGCTATCATGAACCTGGGTGAGTGGGGAGGAGCCAGGAAGGGTAGCAGGGGTCTGGGGGTGGCAGGGCTGTGGGCCTGACTCCCCACTCTCCCCATCCCCCCAGATGTGAAGAAGATGCCACTGGGGAAGTTGAGCAAGCAGCAGTTTTCCCGGGGTTTGGAGGCAGTGGAGGCGGCCCTGAAAGCCCCTGTAGATCGTGGTCTCAGCCTGGAGGAGCTGTCCTCCCACTTCTACACCATCATTCCCCACAACTTTGGCCGTAGCCAGCCCCCACCCATCAACTCCCCGGAACTTCTGCAGGCCAAGAAGGATATGCTGCTGGTGAGGGTTGGCAGGTTGCAAGCAGTGGGGTTACCAAACAGATAGATGGGGCAAGGGAGATGGGGGACAGATAGATCGACTGCGATGGGCAGGCCGAAGGACAGACAGATAGATGGGGTGGGGCTGAATAAGGTGGGGTGGCCATGGTCCTATTTATGTGGGAGGGGGAGGGGGAGGCCCAGGGTCAAGGGGACACACAAGCTGCCAGTGCCCATCCCCTCAGGTGCTGGCAGACATCGAGCTGGCCCAGACCCTGCAGGCAGCCCCCAAGGAGACAAAGAAAGTGGAGGAGGTGCCACACCCACTGGACCAAGATTACCAGCTCCTCAAGTGCCAGCTCCAGCTGCTGGACCCAAAGGTGCCTGAGTACAAGGTGGGCCCGTCCCCACAGAGGAGCTGAACTAGCAGTGGGCACTGGCCCTTTGCCTGTCTGCCTTCCAGGTGCCCAGAAGAATCCCTTTCCTAGGGCCTTCTCTCGCTGTGTCTCCAGGGCCTGAGGAGAGTTCTGGGACTGCAGGGGACAAGTGGAGGTTAGTCCATACATTTCTTGCTCTTGGCACCCAGTTTCTTCTCTCCCCACAGGTGATACATACCTGCTTGGAAAAGACTGGCAGCAAGTACAGTTGCCCTGCTCTTCAACCTAGTTGGACAGTGAATCGAGAAGGGGAGGTGAGGAAGATTCCCTCCCCACCATCACTACCTTGTCCCTTAGGGAGATGACCTTGGCTTATCTTCCCTTTAGTGAGTTGGCTGAGAAACTCTGACCAGTTTCCGCCAGGCCTAGGTCTTGTGCATGTGTGCATGAGTATGTGAGTGACTCGGGAACCCTTGGCCTTGGTCATACCCTCTGATGGCAGACAGAAACACCTGAGCTTGGGTGGCATGACTCTCCCGGTTCCCATCTCCCCCCCCAGGGAGATCAGTTCCAGGCCCACGACAAGCTGGGTAATCGGAAGCTACTGTGGCACGGCACCAACATGGCTGTGGTGGCCGCCATCCTCACCAGTGGGCTTCACATCATGCCACATTCTGGTGGCCGTGTTGGCAAAGGCATCTACTTTGCCTTGGAGAACAGCAAGTCAGATGGCTATGGTGAGGTGTCCCTCAGAGCCAAGCCCTGAGTGGGTATGGGGACACTAAGGAGCATGGGGCCCATTACTTGTCCCACCTGCAGTGGATCCAGGAGAGGACCCCTCGGATAGTTACTGACTAGAGAGCTCTGTGGGGCATCCTGGGGGTTGGTGGACTCAAAGGAGGCATCTGCTGGTCAGCAACAGCTTCCTGGAGAAGGTGATGCAGATGGGATGAGTGTGCCAACCTGACCTGGGAGGGGGTGAAAGAGGAGCCTTCAAGGTAAAGCAGCCAGGGAGTGGCACGAAGCCTGGGAGGCTGCGGCAGGTCAGCACCTCCAGGCACGGCCTGATGACAAAGCTTAGAGCAAATGCCTAGTGTGGGTGTGGGGTTTGGGGGCCGAGGAGGATCAAGGGAGCCTTATTCAGAGAGTGATGGGGAGTACAGTTGAACGTGGCTGCAGCCGTTGGGAGGGTGGCAAAGGCCAGAGGCTGCAGGGAGGCTGTGTTCCCATCCAGGCCAAATGTGATGGGCCCCCAACCCAGGGCAATGGAGGCGGAGGAGGAGAGAATCCATGAGAGGAGTATGTGGGAGGTGGGATGGGCAGCATTGTGGGAAAGGGTCGAGGGTGTCTCCAATGACCCCCAAGTTTCTGTCCAGAGGTGTCCTCACTGAGGTGACCTGCCCCTACTGGCTTCTCAGCCCAGGTTGACCTCATTATTGGAGACCATTACCCTCCGCCACTCAAGAGACCAAGGTCGGAGGATTCATCCAAGTGCAGATGGAGCTGAAGGTTGCTCAAGGCCAAGGCGTCCACTAGGAGGGCAGAGGAGCCTAAGAAGGAGTGGAGGGTGGCCTCAGGAGAGCATTGCAAGGGGGTCTCAGGGTAGAGGGTGAAGGATGCCATGGCAAAATCAGCAGAGCAGGCCTGAAAAGCCCCCACCCCAGATATGGTCACTGGAAGGCCATTACTGACCTTGGTGAGGGTGGCAGACACCTGGCCTCTGGGAGTTGAGGAATGGAGGAGAGAGGGGGGAGGGAGCACAGCCAGGACAAGGGGCCTGGAGAAATGGTTGGAGGAAGGATGGAAGAAAGATGGGTACTTTTCTGGGCGGGGGCAGCAAAGCTAAAGGAGATAACAATGCAGCAGAGAGGAGCCCAGGGAGTCAGGCAGAGAGCCGGTCTGCCTACCCTGAGCCTCCCTGTGTCCCCCAGTTACTGGCGTGTCCTGCGGGGCCCATGACATTGGCTACATGCTCCTGGGTGAGGTGGCAGTGGGCAGAGAGTACCGCATCACCATCTATGAGCCCAGCTTGAAGCAGCCACCCCCTGGCTTCGACAGCGTCATTACCCGTGGCCACACAGAGCCTGGTGAGTCCCATGAAGCTGGACAGGCCTAAGGATAGAGGTGAGGCTGAGATGGAGGAGGATGCTTTCAGGGAGGAGGTGAGCAAGGAAGGGGCTTGTGAGGAAGGACGAAAAGAAGCAGGATTCTTCAATGCAGTCATTCACTTTATCATTCAACAAACATTCACTGATTCAACAAATCTTTCCTGGGCATCCAGGAGAGCTTCAAAGAAGAGGAGTCATTGACTGAGCATTGAAAGATGAGCAGGCATTTCCCAGGCAGAGAAATGGGGGAGGAGATTCCAGGCAGAAGGTCCAGCCTGTGCAGTGGTTTGGAGTTTGGCAAGGTGGGAATGAGTGGGCACTCCCTGTGGTAGAAGTGGAGAGCACAGTGGGTAGGACTTACCGGTAAAGCCAAGGACCGGTGACCCTTGGGTCATTCATGGCCCTTGCTGTGCCCTGCAGTTCCAACCCAGGACACCAAGCTAGAGCTGGATGGCCAGCAAGTGGTGGTGCCCCAGGGCCAGCCCATGCCCTGCCCAGAGTTCAGCAGCTCCAGCTTCTTCCAGAGCGAGTATCTCATCTACCAGGAGAGTCAGTGCCGACTATGCTACCTGCTGGAGGTTCGCCTCTGAGCTGTCTGCCCGACCTGCCTCCCGTCCACTGCCAGGAGCTAGACCATCATCCTCAATCTTCCTCCCATCCCTGGTGCCCCCATATCACCCCTTCTTGCTCTCAAATCTCCCTCCTGTGTCCAGACAGTGATCCCCTCTCCCCCTAATCCTTGTTGGTCCTGGCATGGCTGTGGCCTTAGTCTCGCCTCCTAAGGTGATGGGTGTGATGGATTGGCGATATTACTGGGACACGGATACAGCAGCCTATTCAAGCCTGTGTAGTTAGAGGGGCACAGGCTGAGAGTGGGCGGGTCCCACATCTACCCGGGCCATCCACCCTGGCCCAGACTGTCCATCCGAGAGAGGCGTGATCACCGACATGCACAGGCAAGTGCACATTGTATTGGCTCACCCCCTTGACCTCTGCTTGTCTGTGCCAAAGCTGCACCAGGCCTGGGCCTCCTTGCTCTCCACAGTGACCCACCACACCACATAGCAGTTCCAGCCCCACTCCAGGGAGTGACCACTCACACGGAGGACGTGGGTTGTACACACACTCCCACCCACCCTGGTCAGTCTACATTGGTCACTGCAACGACCGGCCTCCTCTGATCATTGAGCCTCCAAAAGGGACCCTTCCCATCAACTCAGAACTGTTGGTCATGTGGGGACCCACCTGGTGATTCTGTCCTTTAGCCCAGACATGGCCAGGCAAATCAAGCATTCCTTGTGTCTTGGCATCAAATACCCATGTGTGTCTTCTATGTGAATATCATAAATAAATTGAGAATATCTGCAAGGGATGCAGCTCTGCTGTCATGAAAGGAATGCCAGTTATCACCCCAGGTTACCCTGTCCACAAACAAGGGGTGCAGATGCTAGACAGCAGGTCAGGGTCCAGTGCAGTGTCACACACCACATTTAGTTGTCATGTCTCTTCATCTGAAACCATTCCTCGGCCTTTTTTTTTTTTTCTTTCATAACTTTGACACTCTTGACACTACTGAAGAGTACAGGCCAGTTGTTTTATAGACTGTCTCTCAGTTCGGGTTTGTCTGATGTTTTGCAGTGATTAGATTCAGGCATTGCAGTTTGGGCAGGAACATTACATAAATGCTGTGTCCTCGGTGCACTGTATCAGGAGGGACATGTCCCATTCTTGGTGATGTAAATTTGGTTGCCCAAGGTCGTGTCCACCAGGTTTCTCCACTGGGAAGTTACCATTTCCCCCATTTTTAATTAATCAGTAATCTGTGGGGAAATATTTTGAGGTGTAAATGTCCCATTCCTCATCAACTTTCACCCACTAGCTTTAAAATCCAATGATGATTTTTACCTGAAATCGATGACTTGAATCGATTTTTGCTAAAATGGTTGCAAATGATAGTTAAATAATTTAATTCCATCATTTCTTCTATATTTATTAATAATAGCCCCCTTTGTTTATTATCAGTATGGATTTGTGGGTTCCTATTTTATGCAATGGGTTATAATCCATTACTGTTATTATTTTGATCCTCAAATTGTCCCAGCTTTGGCCAGCAGAAGGTCCTTTAAGCTGACTCCTGTGTCTACATCATTTTATGAGCACTTCCTTATGTTCTGGTATCACACGATGTTCCAGGCTCATCTTGCACAAACCTAGAATCAGCCATTTCTCCAAGGAGCCCTGGTTCCCTAGAGCAGGAAATGGTATTTAGAATCCAAGATCTGGGCAGTAGGTATGCTCTTTGGTACTGGGTGTCATTGCTTTTCAGTCTCAGTAGCAAAGAGGGCTAGGAAATATGTATATGTAAATAAACACATCTATCTGTGTCTGTTTCTCCAATTCCAATCCAACACCATATGGTCTTTCCATTCTTCCCCATATCCATAATTTTACTCCCTTCTCCAACTGTCAGAACTTTGGTTCTCATCAACATCAGTGTATTTACTTATTTGCTCAATCCCACACAAAAAGCAGTTTCAGAATTGCTACACCCAATACCACTGTGAAAAACAAACTTTCTAATTAGAGCTCAAGATTTACTGAATCATTCAAGATTATCTTTTTGTCTTTAGACTGAGGGTCAATGGTCAAAGCAACAATTTGAACAATGTTCAAATTGAACAAGGTTCAAATGTTACTTGGATTAGTTATTTATTTCCCTTCAGCGTGGTTATACTATTCATTGGAAATGCTGGTATGTTCATTTGCTTCTATTTATACTCACTTTTAGGGTTTTTCTCATCTTTGTTGATTTATTTTTTTCAACATGTAGAGCATTAACATGGTCCTCAAAAGTCCAATCTATCCAAATCTATGCTCAGAAGAGTGTCCTCCTAGCCCTCTCACTCCATGCCCACCCACCTGCTGTAGTTTCTGGTTTATCCTTCCTGCATTTCTTTGGAAAAAAACCAAAAAACAAAAACAGACAAACTACAAAGTGTTTTGTGTGTGTGTGTTTTTTTTTTTTTTGGCCGCGCGGCATGCAGGATCTTCCCCAGCCAGGGATCAAACCCGCACCCCCTGCGGTGGAAGCATGTAGTCTTAACCACTGGACCGCCAGGGAAGTCCCAAAGTGTTTTTTTTGTTTTTAATAAATTTATTTATTTTATTTATTTATTTTTGGCTGCATTGGGTCTTCATTGCTGCACGCGAGCTTTCTTTAGTTGTGGCGAGCGGGGGCTACTTTTCGTTCTGGTGAGCGGGTTTCTCATTGCGGTGGCTTCTCTTGTTGTGGAGCACGGGCTCTAGGCGCGCGGGCTTCGGTAGTTGTGGCACACAGCCTCAGTAGTTGTGGTGTGCGGACTCAGTAGTTGTGGCACATGGGCTTCGTTGCTCCACGGCATGTGGGATCTTCCTGGACCAGGGCTTGAACCCATATCCCCTGCATTGGCAGGCGGATTCTCAACCACTGCACCACCAGAGAAGCTTGTTTTGTTTTTAATTTACTTTATTTATTTTTGGCTGCATTGGGTCTTTGTTGCTGCGTGTGGGCTTTCTCTAGTTGCAGCGAGTGGGGGGTACTCTTCGTTGCAGCGTGTGTGCCCCCTCACTGTGGTGGCTTCTCTTGTTGCGGAGCATGGGCTCTAGGCGCGCGGGCTTCAGTAGTTGTGGCACACGGGGTCAGTAGTTAGTTGTTGTGGCTCATGGGCTCTAGAGTGCAGGCTCAGTAGTTGTGGGCACATGGGCTTAACTGCTTCACAGCACGTGGGATCTTCCCAGACCAGGGCTCGAACCCGTGTCCCCTGCATTGGCAGGCAGATTCCTAACCACTGTACCACCAGGGAAGTCCCTCCCAAAGTGTTTTAATTGCTAATTTAGTTGAATGATTTTGCAGGGAGCATGCACTCTCCAACCCACCATAGTCCCCATCCCTCTCTATTGCCTTCCCCAGTCCCCTGTTCTCATTTGCTTTCCCACCTGGCCCTGCTGAGCCCTCCCCAGACCCTGGTGGCTTGGGGGCTGCCCCAGGCCTGCAGGCCTAACTGGGCAGTGAGAAAGCCAATGCTCTCTCCTTCTTCTGAACCAAGACCTCAAGAATCCAGCTTCACCTCCTGGAGGCAAATGCCCACATTCAAGTTGTGGTCAAGTACAGGAAGTGGTGCCTGTGTGGACAGCGTTTAGGAAGCAGGCGACCTGGTTTCCAGGTACAACTTGGCTGTGTAATCCAGAACACATTCCTTCCCTCTCTGAGCACCAGTTTTCTCATCTGAATAATAGAGAATTGGACCGGGGCCCTTCGAATTCCAGCAACAGGTGACTCAAATCCAGAGGTTCATGCCCTGTTGTCTGCCACCCAGATCTGTGCTGATGCAGACTGCGTGCCTATGAGGGCTTCTAGGGGCACAGGCACAAGCAAGACACAGACAAGGTCCCTGCTCTCAAGGGGCTTGCATTCTAATAAAACAGGATCTAAACAAGTATGTGCATAGATATGAAATACAATATCAGGTAGGAAAAGTACCAGGAAGAAAAATAAAGCAGGGTTAAAGGAGTAGTGATGGGAAAGTGGAACAATTTTAGGAAAGACGGTCACTGAAGGCAGAGACCTGAATTAGGTGAGGAAGCAAAAGCCATGGAGAAATCTGGGGCAAGGGTGTGCTGACAGAGGAAACAGCACATGCAAAGATCCTGAGGTGGAAACCAGTTTGACATGTGGGAGGACAAGCATGAAGACTGTATGGCTGGAAGTATGGGAGGCAAGGAGGAGGCAGGTGAGGTCAGAGAGGTGGGGAGAAGGCCTTCTCAGCAAAGAGGAGGTGAGATTCTATTTTGATGATGGGAAGTTCTTGGAAGGATGAGTGCAGGATCATGACCTGATCTCATTTGTCTTTAGAGGGATCCACTTCAGCCAGCTGTGTAGAGAGTGGATCTATGGTGTCAGTCAAGATCCAATCAACAAAAGAAAAATCACTCTATGTATTCCAGACAAGAGGAATTTGATACAGGGAAGGAATTGAACTACAAAGGGGCTGGTAAGTCAACCCTGGGATTAGCAACAGCAGGAAGTTGCTACCACTTTTAGGCTGGAAGAATGATGGTATTCCAATGCCCAGAGGCCAGGGTCACCCAGCAGGCACCAGAACCCCAGAGGGGACTGCCTGAAGGGAGCCAGGGCTATGGAGAGAGAATGTCCTCCACAGAGGCAGATCCAGAGGTAGATCCAGGCTGAGCGTGAAAGGGAAAATACCCTGGCTTCTTCCCTCCTGCCACCCTCCAGCCTTCTGCTGGTAACTTCCGTTGGCTGAATTTACCCAAAAACCAAATGACAAAGGAGCCTGGGAAATCAGTTTCTTAGAAGGCAGAGCAGTGCTGTGGAAGATGGGAATGGATCTAAGGGCAAACAGACAAATGACCAGCACAAGGTGCAGAAGCGGAGGCCAGGACAGGTCTGAAATGGTCCAGGTGAGGGGTGATAGTGGCTGGGAGCATGGTAGTGGTGGTGAGAAATGGCTGGATTCAAACACATTGATGGATTGGATGTACGTGGAGGAAAGGGAGGTGTCAATGGAAACTTCTGAGATGGCATTTACTAAGGGGGGAAGACTCTGTGGAGCAGATTGGGGTGGGGGGTCATGAGTCAAGTCCTGTTTTGGGGCATAGGACTTTTGAGATGCCCAGTAGACCCTGTACTGGGGGTGATGTTGAAGAGACAGCTGGAAACCCAAGACTGGGGTTCAGGGGAGAGGAAGGAGCTTCAGACACAAAGGCAAGCCATTAGGGTATACATGGGGTTTTGCCATGGGACTGGGTGACACCACCTGGGGGGCATATGCCCCATTGGAGTCACATGGCTTCCCCTGAGCCAATACCTTGGTGGTGGGGGGTGCAACACACTGACTGGCCAGGACTGGGTTTCATGCCTAGTCAGGAATGTGATGTGAAAGGTGAGGGTCTTGCTCACCCAAACCACATGTCCTGAGCTGGGGAGAGGTGGCTTCCTAAAGAAAACTCAGAGTGTGCTTAGCAGAAGGGGACTTGTTTCCTAACAGCAAAAATAAAACAAAACAAACAGCAGTTGCTCCCTAAGGGTTCCTCTCATTAATTCCACAGTGCCTTGAAGCACCTATTCTGTGCCAAGCTAATACCAGCTAAGCAACCTACTATGTGCCAAGTCCTGTGCTTTTCCCCTCACTTTACCTAGAGAACTAGCCCTCCTGAGGACCAGAGGGTACCTAGGGGTCTCCCAGCTCCAGCTCTGGTCTCACTGGTACCTCAGTTTCCCCTCAGTACAAAGGCTGAATGATCTGCTTAACCCCACTGATGGGGATGGCGGAAGGCAGCAGATGTGGGGGGCGGCACTTGCCACCCCTGGAAAAGGCAGAATAGGATGTGGCTGACTCCAAAGCCCACACTCTAATGTCCTGAGTCTCATTCCAGCCTGTGCCTGCTCTGGGCCCCCCTCCCGAAGCACCCACAGCACAGCCTTCAGCCTCCAGCTGGCAGCTGCTAGGACCCAGGGGGCCGGTGCCAGGCCCTGCCCCTCCCTTGCCAGCTCTGTGTGTCTCCAAAGGGCAGCATCAAAGTGACAGCCAGTACCATCTCCAGCAGGGGCTGAGTTGCTGGGGTGGAGGAGAGAGCCACAGTCCCAGCCTTGCACACTTCCATGGGGCCGGCCAAGCCCCCAAGAGAATGGCAGCCTGGGTGTCTGAGCCAGCGCCTGGGCAGCCTGTGAGGTGAGAGGCTAGAGGAGCAACGGACGGATGATGGGAATGGGGCCGGGGGTGGCGAGGGGCGGGCGGGGGAAGCTCCATTTCGCTCTCTGCATCCCAGCACAGGGTGAAGCCTGAGCGCTCGAATGGCCAACGCCACAGGGCTGAACGCACCAGAAGTCGCAGCCTCGATGGGGTTGATCCTGGCGGCTGTCGTGGAGGCGGCAGCACTGCTGGGCAACGGCGCACTGCTGGTTGTGGTGCTGCGCACGCCGGGATTACGCGACGCGCTCTACCTCGTGCACCTGTGCGTAGTGGACCTGCTGGCTGCCGGCTCCATCATGCCGCTGGGCCTGCTGGCCGCTCCGCCGCCGGGGCTGGGCCGCGTGCGCCTGGGCCCCGCGCCCTGCCGCGCGGCACGCTTCCTCTCGGCGGCGCTGCTGCCCGCCTGTACGCTCGGCGTGGCGGCGCTCGGCCTGGCGCGCTACCGCCTCATAGTGCACCCTCTGCGGCCCGGCGCGCGGCCTCCGCCCACCCTCGTGCTCACCGCTGTGTGGGCGGCGGCGGGGCTGCTGGGCGCGCTCTCCTTGCTCGGGCCGCCGCCCGCACCGCCCCCTGCCCCGGCTCGCTGCTCTGTCCTGGCAGGGGGCCTCGAGCCCTTCCGGCCGCTCTGGGCGCTGCTGGCCTTCGCGCTGCCCGCCCTCCTGCTGCTCGGAGCATACGGCGGCATCTTCCTCGTGGCGCGCCGCGCTGCCCTGCGGCCCCCGCGGCCCGCGCGCGGGTCCCGGCCGCGCTCCGACTCTCTGGACAGCCGCCTCTCCATTTTGCCGCCCCTTCGGCCTCGCCTGCCCTGGGGCAAAGCAGCCCTGGCCCCGGCGCTGGCCGTGGGCCAGTTCGCAGCCTGCTGGCTGCCTTACGGCTGTGCGTGCTTAGCGCCCGCTGCCCAGGCCGCCGCGGCCGAGGCGGCCGTCACCTGGGTAGCCTACTCGGCCTTCGCGGCTCACCCCTTCCTGTACGGCCTGCTGCAGCGCCCTGTACGCCGGACGCTGGGCCGTCTCGCCCGACGAGTGCTACCCCGGCCCCCGCGGGCCTGCACTTCGCGGGCCTGGCACCCGCGGGCCCTCCTGCAGCACCTCCATAGACCTCCAGAGGGCCCTGTCCTAGGCCCTTCTGAGGCACCAGAACAAGCCCGGGATTTGGCAGGAAGGGAGAGCCTGAGCATGCCAGAGGCCACGTGAGAGATGTCTCCCAAGGTGAGCCGGGACTGGAGAAAGCAGGGTGGTATCACAAAGGGCCCATCCAGCCTCCAGCACAGCTTATGGCAGGTAGCCTGCCTGCACTTCTGGCTCTGGAATGGGAGAAAGGGGACCTGCAGCCTAGTGAGGCCCAGAGGCTTCTGGGAGCTAGGAATCCTGAGTTCTGGGCCCAACTCTGCATGGCCTTGTACACAGACCTACCCTTCCCTAGGTATGTTTTCCCATCTGTACCTTGGACCATCTCTAAGGGCTCCTCCAGCTTGGGTGATCTGGACACTCATGGATGATCCCCAGGCCAAGGAAGAAGCAGAGGTGGGCAGGATCACAGAGAAGAGGGCCCCAATGGCTCACAGCCAAAGGGAATGGGCCAAGTAGGGCAGGGTCTGGGTTACAGCCACAGCAGGAGGAACCAGTGAAGGGACATTCAGAAAGACCTCCCGCACATCTGCACCAAGGAGAGGCTGGACAAAACTACTGGAACTCCTCCATCAGCTTCTAAAAATGCCCAGAAAACAACTGGATCGCTTTGGTGCCAGAGGCAGGAGGCTGGACAACATGACCCCCCAAAGAGCCCTGAAGCCCCAGAACTGGCATGTGGAAGGGGCCGAGGCCCAGCTGGGGCTGATGGAGTCACAGATGGGGGTCCTCTGGGGTCTCAGCTACACCCGTTTTCTGGAGGTTTTGCCAATACCCACAGTGTTTCACAGCTTCCTGGTCTCTCAGAATATTTATTCAAAAACAGGAATTGAAAAAACTGTACAGAGTGTCTGCTGCTGAGAACTCGGCCCCTGCCCCCATGCCACTCCCCCAGCTGCCTGGCAGTGCCCCCTCTTCGGGTTGCCCTCTGCCAAGCCCAGCCAGTCCATTCCACTCAAAAGGGTATCAGTGGAAGCAGCAGGG